GGTATGGAGGGACAAATCTTGCAGGCTGGTACCTCCTCCTTCTGGCCAAAGTCTCAAAGTCCAGGAAATTTAACATCCATTTGCAACACACAAAAGATACTTCCTTTGGAGTCCAGCAGGTCTCCATGCTATATAATTTTTGTGTTGCAAAAAGATGTTAAATTTCCTGGACTTTGAGAATCTCCCAGTTGCCACATGGCCAGAAGGAGATGCCAACCTGCAAGATTTGCCCCTCCATACCATCTTAACTAAGAAGAGAAACAACTAAACGCAAGCCTACGACTAACATCTCCAATTTTTTTCTCCTGTTTGGTTTGTTACATCTTGCCTGATAAAGAAGCCAGTCAAGTTTCGAAAGCTTGCAACATATATATTGTGCATTTTGGCTGGCCCCATAAAGGTATCACTGTTTGGTGGATTTTTGTTGTTAATGGCATTGCTATATAATAATAATAATTTTTATTTATATTTCCATATTTATATATGGCCAACACGGTTCCCTCAGATGTTTTTTGGATTTCAGATACCACATAGTTTGCAATTAATTAATTTCCTCCTTTTAAATTCTTTCTTTTTCTCCCTCCCCACCATAATGCAGCTTTGCAATACTGACCTGTGTTGAAGTAACCAGTCACCCTTCCTACATCCTTCCCACGTTGGCAATGTCTACTAGGAAGAGGAGGAGAAACAAGGGGCCCTAGAGTGATTCCCAAACTCTGGTTATGCAGATGTTTTGGACTTCAGCTCCCAGAAGCCCCAGCCATCTTGGCTAATGGCCTGAGATTCTGGGCGGTGAAGCTCAAAACACCTGGTAGGCCAGAGTTTGGGAATCACTGCTTGAAGTCCAACTCTCCAGATCTCTTGCTGGATTGCAACTCCCATCATCCCCTGCCAGCATCATCAATGACTCAGCATGATGGGAGCTGGAATCCAGCCACATGCAAAGGGTTCCCCACCAGGCACTGCTGAGGTGTGTACATCAGCCTTGTGTGTGTTGTGTGCTTTCTAGTCATTTCCAACTTATGGTCAATTTAAGGCCAACCTATCCTGGGGGTTTTCTTGGCAGGATTTGTCCAGAGGGGGTTTGCTATTGCCTTCCCCTGAGACTGAGAGAGTGTGACTTTCCCTTTTGCAAAATTCAACCCCACCCCACCCTTCCAAACTCACAAGCCTTTCCCATTTCTCACCCATTTTCATGCACAGCTTTCTGATTATTCCTTCTTTTGCAACACAAGTCCTCTGCAACCAACCAGCCCTGGCAAACTTTGCAAAGCTGAAATCTGGGCTAGAGCTGAAACCTGGACTGGATTTCCTTTGCATCTGGCTGGAAGGGACCAAGAAAAAGAGAAGACAATTGGCTGTGATTCAAGGCAATGGACACTAGAGGGCACCCTTGAATCATCTATCATTGAGCTGAAAAAACTGCTGTTCTCTTTAAGGAGCTTCAAAAGATCCTTCCAGGCTGTATCCGCACTGCAGAAATAATCCAGTTTGACACCGCTTTAACTGCCCTGGCTCAGTGCTATGGAATTCTGGGAACTGTAGTTTTGTGAGACATTTAGCCTTCTCTGACAGAGAGGTCTGGTGCCACAACAAAATAAAATTCTCAAAAATCCATCCTATTGAGCCATGGCAGTTAAAGCGGTGTCAAACTGGATTATTTCTGCAGTGCGTATACAGCCTTTGGGGTTATTCAGATGTTGTTTTTAGTGCGACTATGCAAATAATCTCACTCATGCATTCTGGTTTTGTTGTTTGCGCTATTATTTTTTAATCGGAACTGCATCTCTGCGAGTTCGATTCCTCCCACGTGTCAGCGCTGCCGAATAAAGATGGAGTCGATGATGCAGATATATTCGAAACACGTTCAAGGCATGTAGAGTTTTATCTCGGTTTATCCCAGGTCTATTCGCATTGGTTATTCACACAGCTGACAATGCAAATCTTTTAGGAAATGAGATCAATTGTCTGGGTTAAGTGGGTTTTTTTGGCAGCCTCCCCCCTTCCAAACTTAATCATGAAATTCATAGCAAAGACTCAACCCACATTCTATCCAGTGGCATCCCTAGGGTTGTGTCATCCAGTGCAGTAACTCATGGTGTCATACATACACGCATCCATTGATCTGCTCCCATTTCACACCATACAAAATCCTTAGTAATGTTTTTTTTGCACTAATGTTAATGGGAGATCATAATGAATAATGGGAAATCGTAATTCCCATATACCACTGAATGTAATGCTAATAGCTGTGACATAAACAACTAGCAAAATTAAAATTATACCTTCAAACTACAATATCGTATGCACAACCTAAACGTATTTACACAGGGGTAGGCAACCTTTCCCCTTTAAGGGCCGAGGGAATTCAGCTCCCAGAAGCCTCAGCCATGTTGGCCAATAGTCCCATGTTGGCCAATAGCTCCTGGGATTCTGGGAGCTGAAGTCCCTCGGCCTTTAAAGGGGAAAGGTTGCCTACCCCTGCATTTACATATACATAGTGAAAATTTGGTTAAAATGTGATGTTTTTAAATAAAATTTTAAAAGAATTAAAAAAATTAAAATTTTGAATTTTGAATTTTGAATTTTAGAAAATTCTGGGGCCTCTCCTTTCTCCTCCCACTGAGCTTCACCCCACTCCCACCATCTCTTAAAGCATTTTAAAGGGGAGCAGATGAATGCCACATCCCCTTTCTGCCAAAAGGTAGGTGTTTGAGGAACAGTGGTGTCACCTCCCTTAGGGTGTCACCTGGTGCAGTCTGCACCCCCCGCACCCCGCTAGTGACGCCACTGATTCTGCTGGGATTATTTTCACCATCTGAATAACCCCTTTGTGACTTTTGGGGCTGCCCCTCCAGGCGTCTTCTCCCTCAGTCATCCAAGGCTCACCTACTTTGCCAGCACCTTTCTTTCCTCCTCATCTCAACTCTCCCACCCTATCTCTTGTATTTTATTCATTTGTTTCATTCACACTCGAAAAACTGTGCTCAGGATCTTGAGAGGTAACAACATATCAAGCAGAGA